TGATTACGGTAATGTTTCTAATCGGGGCACGAAACACATTCACTTCATTCATTAGCTCAGTTGCAATAGTGATTATAGACATACACACGTTGGCATCTGTGTGCACGTGCAGTAGGTGTTGATGCATAATAACAGATTTCATTGTGTGATTTCTATGCGCAGTCAGATGAAATCACATGATCTGGAAATCTCAACGATAGCCATATTTAAATAAATAGTAAGTGAGTGAGGGGGGGGGGGGGAGTTTTGCTATGCGCCGCTTTCAGCAATATCCAGATGGAGACACCAAAACTGAACTTCACAAACATTTTTTGGAATCGAACTCGGATCTTCGGCGTGACGAGCGAACGTCTTAACCACCAGGCTACCCCACCGCCCAAAATGTTTCTATTGATTTGGTTATCGATTACATAATGGCATATTTTGTAGTGTGTTATTCCGTGGGAATGGTTATTTGCCTTCCCGGTTATTTGCTGCATGTTATGTCCTTATGCTTGTGACTACCTGGGAAAACATACAGTGTCCTTGATCATGAGATATGGATAAGTTTCGACGGCACATGAGAAACAACCATCATCACAAACCATTTTTGATATTGTCGATATGTCGGTATTGTGTTAACTTGTAACCGGAAAGCTGTGTGGCTGGTTTGGACAGATGCTGTTGATATCGCCCAGGAGTTAAGCTTTAAAGACGTACTTGCACACTCTATGTCAGATTCCTAAATATTCAACTTGTCAAACTACGAAGTCTTCAATTCGATGAACAGCGCAAGCTCCGAGATCTGTGTTGCCACTAGAGACAATGAGTAACTCTTTTCGAGTTAACATGGTTGAACTTTAAAGTGATGAAAGTTGAAACAAACTTTCGATATCCCGGAAGAGTATGTCCTATGCATGAAGGCGTGGTTACAGCGACATCATGTGAAGATTTCATTTGGTGTGGTAAACATTTTCTGAGCATGTGTGAATATAAATATGCATGGAAAAGGGTGTTGCAGTACCACATATTTCCATATCAAAGGAGCTTATTCAAAGATCAGTGTAACTTACGATCTGAATAACTGGAATAATTAGACGACAAATCTAATAACGCATAAAGAATTAAAAACTGTGGTTTTACTCAGAGAAACAAACTTTGCAAAACATTCACTCATTTCGTAGTGCTGATACTTTAACATGTTCAAGATTCTGTTCATACAATCCTTACGAAATTAAACAAGTATCAATAACCGAGAACAATGACTGTATCAGACGTTGATTTTGACGTTGAGATTGGGGGTTGTTCTAATACATCAAGGTTATGTACTGGAGGATCTCTCTGGCATGTTCTGCAACCAATAATGTCCCAAACATGCTCTATGGTATTGCGATTGGACTGGCGGGCTAAGGAAGAGACACCTCCTCTTCATGTAATGAAATCACAAACGGCACGTGCTCGATGTGAGTGACCAGTGGTCCATTCAGATTTTGTCTGATCATCACAAGGTCAAGTGTACAGTCAGCCAATAAAGGGTATCGTTGGCTGTACAAAATCTTTCATGTCTAGCTAGTGTCTGTACATAACACATACTTACTGGGTGACCATTTGTTTTTATATCAGCATTAAAATGTCCATTTTGGAGCATCCGCTGGGACCATAAAATATCCGTTTATGTTATGGACTTTCACCTTTCAGCAGGTGAAGAATGAAGGCAAGTTGGACATTAAGTTCATCAGATATTCGTCAGACGGAACGGACAACAATGGGTTTTGCTGTGAAGGGTGGGAAGGACCACCATGCAGTGATACATGTGATCCAATGTTTACCCTGTGCGTTAAAGAGTAGGTATCTAACTATTGTATTACCAAATTGTTTTTATGGGAATTTAAAGGCACTATTTCACACCACACTTCTCTAGATATAAATAAGGCATTCCTCTCAATGATACTATCAGCCCTCGGGGAAGCTACCATATATTTTATTCCCTCCAAAATACATATTTTGATTACAATATTGAATTAAAAAGTTCGAATGAATTAATGCAGCGTTGCATTAAATCCACTTTCGCGCTCTACCGGCCGAACATTATTTCAAGCGAACCCCATAGAGTTATGTCCCTTGGGGCGCTCTTTACGAATATCCTATAACGCAACTTGTGATTGAAATCAGTTTGGCAAACACCAACAACACCGCGTGCGGCAGTTTTCGATATACGGTACAATTGTCTACAAGTGGTCTCTGTTTGGAAGTTGTTCGCCTCTAAGTTACAATTATCTGTTTCACACAAGTCGTCTTTGATTGCATCAATAGGAAGCTAAAGTGAGTGCATATGTCCCAATATGTATAATACGAACCAACCCGTTTAGACAGGATATATGATCCAGGAGAACTGAGAATCTTAAAGTTTGGTAAATCTTTTTCCACTGGGGAATTGTTCGTTCTTAATATGTAACGTACGTAACATCGATGAAAGAAGACGTGAAGTCGATTTCTTCTAGGTGTGATAAACTTGATAAAACAGTTAACCTTATCAAATCGGACAAAGAGAACATGAAACAAACTAGCGAGACTATGTATATGGATTTTGACGCCATTTCGGAAGAGGTTGATTACATTGACGAACGCATGACCAAAATTGACGACGACTTAGATACACTTGAGGCATTTAGTCGATTGCGTGTAAAGAAACTGTGTTGTCTACATTTGGCAAATACTTGACTTTTAAGACATGGCTATCGTCTGATGTGATTCGTGCACACCGCCTTGGCGCTAAACGTCAACAAGCAACAAAACCACGTCCCATCATTGTGGAACTCGCACAGTCAAATGAAAAGGTCCGAGCTCTGAAATCGAGACCAGTCCTCAAGGAGAATGGTCTTAGAATTTCCAGCGACTTCACGACACGACAGAGAAAACAGTCACAAGTCCTTAAGGAAACCGGTAAATTCGGATACTTAAAAGACGGCAAACTCATAACGGTAGATCGTGAAGATTCCAGTGAGTCCACACGTAGTCAGATTCAAACACGTCAACGCAAGCGGCAACCGGCGACCGACTCTTCACGTAACAGAAGCAAGACGCCTTCTCGTTCGGTACACTCATAGGGCAGCGGCCGAGGCCTGGTTATTATTTCACAAGGATCTATCGGCAATGACACCACAAATACTGACTCCGAGAGTGGTCTCGTGACTCACAACACCACTCTCTCCCTTTTGTGCTGGAACGTTAACGGTTTGAGGGACAAAATAAACGACTGTGAATTTTTAGAATATCTTCGGAAATTCAAAATAGTATGCCTTGTTGAGACGTTTGTTATCGACATGTCAAATATGAATTGTTTGGACGGGTATGACGTTTTCTATAGCCCAGTAGTAAAACTATCTGGTTTTGGTAGACTTTCTGGTGGTGTATGTGTTTGTATCCACCATTCTATAAGCAAAGTGTGCACTTTACTATCGCCATTAGTTGACAATTTGATCTTCTCTAAACTGCCTAAAAAGTTTTTTTCAGTTGCAAAAGATATCAACTTAATATGTACTTATATCCTACCCTTGGGTTCGCCGTATTATTCTAACAGAGATCATAAATGTAACATTGAACAAATCGAATTTAATAAGCAAACCTAGAGAGAACAGATAAAATATGAATTATGTATGTGGAATATTAACGAGGAAAGGTAAGACATTCATGGAGCAACCTAACAAAGTCACATGAAATCTTTTCTTTCTTTTTTTTCATGTTTTTATTCCCATAAATATGTTTACAGACTTTATCGCAGTAGTACAGTACAGTACAGGTAACTTTCATAGTATACAGGTACAGTGTTTCCTTGATCACATTGTCAAATATCATGCTGTTCACAAATATGTAAAACGGTCAAACTAGGCATGTATATGAAGTGTTACATGTTTACAGACTTTACCTCAGTAGTAGCATAGTACAGTATAGTACAGTACAGTACAGGTAGCTTCATATAACACAAGTACAGTGTTTCCTGATCGCATTGTCAATATCATGCTGTTCACGAATATGTAGAATGGTCAAACTAAGTATGTACATTAAGTGTAACATGTTTACAGACTTACCTCAGTAGTACAGTACAGTACAGGTAACTTCATAGTATACAGGTACAGTGTTTCCTTGATCACATTGTCAATATCATGCTCTTCCCAAATGTATATGAAGTGTTACATGTTATACGAGTCTGTGATAAAAGTTTAATTATTAGCAAATAATGTATGGAAGGAGGACCAGAAGCTAAAAAATTTTGGCATTTTGTTGCTTCATAATATTTGATGACTTCTGCTTTAATATATCTAATATTCAGAGTTTGCTTTTTTCTGCTTCTTCTATAAATAGCTTCTTTAACGACCAAAATTACAGCATTCAATGGATTACTGTGTTTGTCTTTAAATCCAAATATAATATTCTCTAGAGAAAAATTATTTTCACCCTCTGAAACAGTTTTCAGCCATTTTTTGTACTTCCTTCCATATCTTTTTCATATATACGCATTCAAACAGCGGGTGTACCATGGTTTCTGGATCTTGTCCGCAGAATGTGCATAAGTGTGATTCAGATATTCCTATCTTATACAAGAAGCTTTTTGTTGCTAAAATATTATTCACTATTTTAAATTGGAACCATGTCATATTCACACTCTCAGTACATCTATAAGACATCAGATTAAAATTTCCTTGTTCTGATCTGTCAACTTTCCTATTTAAACACTTTTGACATTTTTCTTGGGCATCTGTACTGAAGTCTGGAGCAAATAAAATCTGATAAAACATTGTACTGGCCTTTTGTGTATTGTTTATGCTGTATACATTAAGTGGGAGAGTAGGATCATATATCCTTTCTTGGTAATCATTAATCAAACTTCTTTTTATATATTTCGCTATTGTGGACTTGAGCCCTTGATACAGGATAAAATTGTCTCTAAATTATATGTTTCTACAAATTTGTTAAAGGAATAAATTTCCCCCTTTTCATTAAACATATCCTTAATAAAACATATACCCTTTCCTATCCAGTGCCTATATTCAACCCAATTGCCACTAATAGAAATATTAGAGTTGTACCATAATGATTGAGTCTTTATGTCAGAAATATTTGTAATCTTATCATAGCATTTGGATAGATACAAACCCCATGCCGATACAACATCCCTCCAAAAAAATATTTGTAATATAAGGCACTAAAGTAGTGTTCATATATAAGTAATCCACCAACCATAGGGTATCTATTCCTGGGATGAAAATTCCAGCATGTTTGACCCAATATGACTTTCTATACAGTCTTGTCTTTAGTTTAGGTATTGGTGTTCGTGCCTACTGTGATCCTGACTGGTACGGCTCTGATTGTCTGACATACTGCAAGGCGCAAACTACTGACTATTACGGTTGCCAGGTTTCGAGCGGGGCCAAGATCTGCTTCCAAGGTTTGTTATGAATAGTTTTATTGCACATTGTTCACAAATATCTGTTTCATAAAGTGGATGAAGAATGTAATCTTTACTGCAGGATGGAAGGGAGATTACTGTACTCAGGACGTCGACGAGTGCACTGAAAGAGTGGACGTGTGTCAACATGATGGCAGCTGCACAAACACAGCTGGAGGCTTTCAGTGCCAGTGTGTGGAGGGAATCACAGGTGAATAGACAGTTAGTGGCACACATGCATTCTCGCATACTAGATTGAAGGTACTAGACTATACACGAAGATACAACAGTAATGATAATATCACATGTAGACTTAATAAGTTAACCCATTAACCAAACGAATTAGAGCAAAACCAATAAATAACAAACAACATCTGTTTCAGGGAAGAATTGTGAACTTGTAACTAACCACTGTGCCCTGAATAAATGCCTGAACGGAGGGATCTGTAATGAAAATGAAAGAGACTTCAAATGTGATTTTCCATGGACTGGAGAAACGTGTGATCTAAATGTTGGTAAGTGAATAAGTTGGAATTTACAGTTTGTACGTACAATGTCCTAATGTTTTAGTTATCCCCTGCAACAACGAAGTTGCGGGGGATATAGAAACGAGTTCCGTCCGTCCGTGTGTCCGTCCGTCCGTCACACTTTGTCCGAAGCATATCTCCTAAACTATTCATGATAGCTTAACCAAACTTGGCACACACGTCAACAATGATCCCTAGATGTGCCTTTTGGGGGTTAGACCCAGATATGATTGTATTTTTTGCGGTGTCCATGCAAACATGACTTAGGCTGTGACTATGAGAATGTCATCTTGTCCAGCGCACATCTCCCAAACTATACATGCTAGCTTCATCAAACGTTGTACACATATCAAGCATGATCCCTAAATGTGGCTTTTGGGGCTTAAACCCAGATAGGAATTTTATTTATTGCGGTTTCCATGGAAACATGACTTAGGCTGTGACTATGAGAATGTCATCTTGTCCAGCGCACATCTCCCAAACTATACATGCTAGCTTCATCAAACTTTGTACACATATCAAGCATGATCCCTAAATGTGGCTTTTGGGGCTTAAACCCAGATAGGAATTTTATTTTTTGCGGTTTCCATGGAAACATGACTTAGGCTGAGGCTATGAGGATGTCATCTTGTCCGGAGCTGATTTCCTAAATTATACGTGCTAGCTTCATCAAACTTTGTACATATGTCAAGCATGATCCCTGGATGTGCCTTTTGGGGGTTAGACCCAGATATGAATTTTATTTTTAGCTGTTTCCATGGAAACATGACTTAGGCTGTGACTATGAGGGTGTCATCTTGTTGCATTTCCATGGCAACAAGTTACGCTTCAACTGAATTTGGTGGTAGTGTTCCTTTCTTGAGCAGATCTTAAAAACCTTTCGGTACTCCCCTTCCACTTTGCTGTATACTCTTCAAAACATTTCACATAATGATAACTAGCAGACATATTCATAAAGAGTATTTTGCCGTTGCGGGGGATACTGATGACTTTGTCTTCTTGTTGTTCTCCGCTTGACTTGTCTTAATATGACAATTTATGTTCTTTGTGTTTCTTTGAAACTATCAAATATTCTTATATTATAAAGGGGATTATCTTTTATGAAGCATATGTTCCAACACCCTAGATTTCTTAACAAATATTATCTTGGGCAATGGTCAGCAAATAAACAACGATGTTTTTTTTGTACTCCTTTTTTAAGATATTACCAACATCACCGTCCTTGGAGTGATTAATCATAACAACAAAGGCAGTCTCATTACTGGCTTGAGGAAAGTCGTCAACGATCTTGGAGGAATACAGGGGCAAGTGAATGTCGTGGTCTCAACACATATCTACAGTGAAAGCATGTATGTTTATCAAAGGTGTTTCAAATGATTCCACAATGACATCTGAACACCTTCATACCTTCACATCCTCAGATGTTTCGAAACTCAAGATGTATCAGGGTTTCATTCAGCACACACTCATAATGCTATATATTTGAAGCAAACACTATTTTGAAACCATTTAATGAGGACTTAGGAGTTACTGAACATTGTGTTATTCAATAGCTACAACAATATTTATTCTTTCTGTTTACAGATATACCATGAAATATATTAACAAGTTCTTATTCTTATTTCAGAAATATCACCACGCAAGTTCAGTTTTATGTGACACTGGAAAATGGTACTTTCCTAACGAGTGACTTTGTAAGAGAGATCTTTACATCACACAGTGATACTGACATCAACCAACACCTCCCCCTTCCCCTCTACCCAGCGAGGGACACAGATGACGAGGAGATTGGTATCACTACCCAAGAAAATATAACAGAGGTTGTCGCACGTTGTTGATATAAATATGTTGTGTGATGAACATTAAAAATGTTTCAATGCCTATAGACAAACATTATGTTATTACGTCTTTGAATAGCAAAGGTAAAATGCATTTACATCAGGTGACAATATATTCCCCGAATGTTATCATAAAAGCATTATATACAAATTGATCAGCTGTATTTCAACAAGCATACTCTCCCTTCAATCTCATCCGTCCGAAAATATATATGTAATATATGCAACATTAAGGAATTGACATTTTTGATTTGTGTGTGCATGTGACATGGATGTGATATCAATCTGATATCCATGTGTCTGTTACAACAGGGAAGTTGGTTCAAGAGTAACTGGTATAAGGTGGTTGGAGCTCTCTCTGCTGGACTTGTGCTGGTGGCACTGTGTGTATCATTCCTCATGTGGAGAAAAAAGTCGTAAGTACTGTGTCTGGGTTAGTTATTAACTGCATTTGACATTAATTATTACAATGTTTTTCTCATTATTACAAGTTTATTTACCTTTGAGGGTTTATGTTTATAAATGCTGACACAAATATTTGTTGTTTTTATCTATTCTCAAAATGCAAATTGTCTTCACGGGTTTTAACTATATATGAAATTTTTGGATGTTTGTTTAAGGCATGGATCGGGACAAATGCTTGAAGACAATCAGGGAAACGTCATTGAAATGGATGTAGTAAACAGGACCGTGCAGGGCCAGCACAGACCTACCTCAGGCTGTGAGGAGGACGCAAGAGCATCCACAGACGGATACAGACGTTCCGGAGCCGCAGCCAGACACAGCTCGCGTCAAGAGGTCGCTTCCTACAGCCAACCATTTCACGACACGCGTCCTGACGAGAACCGTTGTAGTCGTTTAGCTACACCTACACCAGACAACAGCAACTATGCAACACTTGGTAGCTGTGAGAAAGGATCCAATGACTACACTGTCATCGATGACGTTAATGTAGATGGGGCAACGGAGAATCTTTATGAGGACGTACATTTTTAATAACCGTGTTTTGCAAAGGCTAAATAGGTATTGAAGCATAAGCTATCATTTTGTGTACTAATTTCTCTGACTGCAATACACATTGTACTAGAAGTAGCAGTGTAATAGATCGTAGTCCCGGCACAAATTCTCCTGAACGTGCAAAGGGTCTTGTAGATTAAATGAAACTGTAGACAGTAGTTCCACTTTGTATTTACCCGTGTCAGTGACACATTAAGAATTGCCCCTTGAGCATACATACATAAATGTATATGACGTGATATTTTTTGGTCAGGATAGTGATGTGCGGTTCAGTCCCGTTCGTGTGTCCACAGCATTTTGCAAACAAATTGTATATGCAGTAAACCTTCGTTACCTGTGACGTATACCAGTAGAAATGATTTGACCCAAAAGACAAGTGCGCGCTTGCTGTTAAACGCCTCACCCAGCAGTAGTTAAGCTGTATTGTATGAGAGCAGTCAGAAAATAATCAACACAGACGTGTTTCAGTTTATACAATGACGAAGATGTACTTTGTTGGCAATTATCCGTTTACAACTGACATTTGACTCCATCGAATTCTAAACACTCACCACATGCATAAAGTAATGTCATAGGAGAATAGACGTAGATTTGACTGTGGTAAAAGTTGAGTTTCATATAGCTACACTTTCGGATCTGCTTATGTTAAGTCTACAGGAAGTATACCACTAATATGGAAGCATACTAGGTCTATTTCCAAACAACATCTTTGTTCAAACCATTTTCGAAAAGTACATATTCATTCATTCGTTCATTCATTCATTCGCTGCAGCCGTTCTCTGCAACGAAATTGGACATATTCTAATTATTCATCCTCGTGTACATGTGTTTGCTTTGTTCAGTCCATGTTTATGTTTACATTTTTTTCATCACAGACTCGATTTTTTTTAGTATTCAACAAATATCTAAGTCAAGGAAATTATCAGAGAACATGTTCTTTTGAGAAAAGGTGTATTGAAACGAATACTTGAAATTTCCTTAGTATAATTACCACAAGAAAGTTAAAACATAACAGTAGGATGATTTATACATGTCCCGATATTATGTTTTTATTCATATGTATAAAGTTTCCTTGCATGTATGAATCTATGTTTCCCTTTCATATCCGTGACCAGTGTTCGCGACGGGCACTATATCCTGTTTGAAACTAGTTTTTGTAATATATTAAAAATACCTTTGTTATCTGTACTGATGTAATAATTCACAAATAAAAGTAACAGAAACACTCAGTCATCATGTTATGTTTATACACGCTATATCTGACAATATTACTCTATATTTGGACCTAGTTCCTGGTAACTACCAGTATCGTCATTGTTTTGTCAGCCTCATGTTTTAAAGGTACAATTATTACCACAGCTTCACAAAGACTATGGTCAATATGAGCTCCAAGCAACGGATGTTTCTCGATAGAGGCGACTAAATGGATCGGACACGTGGTCAATCTCAGTTGGTGGGTAAGGAGGCCGCGTGAAAAAGACTCTTACTATATCAGTTTAAAGGTTTGTTCGATGTAGACCTTTTTACTATATTATTCAATATAATATTTACAAATATTATTTACACGTTTCTCTTAAATGCTTAGTAACTGATATCCAAATGACTGCAACACAACACTGACTCACTCCGTTATATTTCCGCAATAAACAATCAAATCTAAACCTGACAATGTAGACAAGTGAATAAAGACTACAATAAAAAGTCGAAGCAGTTAACAAAAAGACCCTCACAAAATTTATCACAAGTTTGTTTGATGAAAGCTCGATTTGTCTCCTCAATTATATTATTTACCTATACTATTTACACATTCCTCTGGAATATTTGCTATTTAATTGCTGTCTGCAACACACCATTGACTGACTCTATGGATTTCCGTATGAAACAATCAAATCGAAACCTAACAATATAGAGTATACATAAAGGGTAGTAGTGAAACTAGAATACAAACGAGTCAGCAATTAACAGGAAGTGGTGAAAGCATGTTAGATAAGTCATTCAGCTATATAGTGTGTTTGATACACTATCCAAAACCCGATGCCGGTGGCAAAGCTTATTCTTAACTACTTGGAAGATGAAGACGACGGGAGGACGCCAAGGGGTGACTTTACTCCTGTGGCTGTTAATAACAAGGGAAGGTACTTAATACTTTTATCACCGCCGTCTTGTAGCCATTAACGTCAATAGACTCGTGGACGCTTCCATACATCACACTGTGAAAATGTCCATTTCGTGATATGGTTACTGATCACATGCTAGAATATTGCCCACGTAAAGAGGGCTAACTGCTGGAACCTTGAAATCATTCCCCTTGCAAGACAGTCTTCGTTTATTTTGTTCTTTCTTTATTGCTATGTAACTATCAATTACAATTCATGATTATATTTTGTGTTTAGTTTTGTTGGCTAAATCAGTGGAAGGGAATTTGATTTTAGGCAAAAACCGAACGATATCAGATTACCGATATACTTGAAACTTTCGTTAAAATGCTAGTCCAAATTTCCGTGTGTTCAACTTCAAATTGATATGCATAAAGAGACATACTTTAGCTGGAAGGGAAGCACAATTGGTGGCCAAAGGTATGTTTACTCACTGTTTATGTCTTATCCGCAAATGTTATACAGATGTTATCGACGAGGAAGGGTCAGTGAAGTGTTATTTAATGAACGAAGAGACATGTATATTGTATAATGTTCTTGTGGAATCCTGTATTCAAAAGAGTCCATACAAGATAAAATATTGGTCACCCATTTTGATAGTTTAAACCTCCTATCATTCACCACATCAAGATTACACTAACCATGTCTCTGATTATATTATGTTATTTTCACAAAATCTTTGTCTCATCCCCAAATTTCCACACATGAAGATCCGGGCTACAACTGATCTTCAGTAACCCAAGCTTGTCGTAAGAAAAGACTAATGCGATCGGGTGGTCAGATTCACTGACTTGGTTGACACATGTCATCGTATCCCAATTGCGTAGAACGATGCTGATGATGTTGATCACTGGACTGTCTGGTCCAGACTCGATTATTTTACAGACTGACACCATATAGCTGGCATACTGCTGAGTGCTGTGTAAAACTAAACTCCCTCACATTATTGCCTAATTACACATGTATAATATCAATGAGGAAGTTCCACATTTCACAGATTAATTTTGTTAGTACACATCATAAAGTTCTAAAGTTTAAGTAGGCGGAGGGGTAGCCTCCTGGTTAAAGCTTTCGCTCGTCACGCCGAAGACCCGGGTTCGATTGTCCACATGGGTACAATGTGTGAAGCCAATTTCTGGTGACCCCCGCCGTGATATTGCTGGAATATTGCTAAAAGCGGCTTAAAAAGCTAAACTCGCTCACTCTATAGTGTAAGAATGTGTATTGCTTTTTTTGTGTAAACATTTTACACTGAATCAATCAAACAAGACATTTCCTCAATAAGTATCATCGTGAATTGTCCAATCCCAATTTTCTTTTTCCCGAAAATCTATTGAGCACAATTATTTGAATTGTTTATGTTTCTGAGACAAGTAATACATCATTAAAGTGGAATTTGTGCTCTAATTATAAAATTTAAACACATGTGTGATTCTTATCTTCTTGCTTCGACAGCGTGCGAGGACTGACGGCAAACTGGACATTCGATTCATCAGTTACTGGTCGGATGGCAAGGAAATCAGTGGGAAGTTTTGTGACAATCATCTACGCGTGTGGTGTAATGACAAGTGCGACCCTAAGTTTACCATTTGCATTGATGGGTGAGGAACGTTTACTCCTTCAATAACAAAACATACTAGTAAGGGAAACACATTTTGAGTGAGTTTAAATGTTACGTCGCATCGGTAATATTTCAGCCATATTGTGACAACAGGAACTCATAAATTAAGAATGAATCTAAAGAGAATTTTTAAAATGGTGTCATCGAAGGACAGGATTACATCTAGATTATCACATATTTTTAAAACTAGTCTGTAAGCAAAGGTTTGTACAAATTAAAACCATCAGTACCAGAACCACACCACCCCTTATTTGACTTCAATAGAAAGTGCGGAATCATGCTTGTAACGCCGATACATTTGGTTTGAAAATCATTCTGGCTACATTAACTATTGCCCAAAGAAAGTATACACCGCAAAATATTACATAAAAATTCACAAAAGTGAAAATGAAGTGATAAAACCATACTCAGCCAAGTCAAACACGTACAGACCCATTCTTTCCGGGAACAAACGGCGAAAAAGTTAACGAATCGCATATAATGTCGCAAAAAAACAAAACGACGTTTTCTGATGTATGACGAAATGAACGTGCATACTGACGGTATAAAACAGCCTACGCATCACGTGAGCAACAAAGTAGTAAAAAGAAAAGGAAATGTGACAAGGAACTATCCACATCGTCATTGGTAGAACCTTCGGCTGAACCCGAGCAACTGTCATCAGAATAAGATGCAGCGACTAAGACAAACAGGCAATACGTCAGACAGGCCAAGGAATGGTCGACCACATGTGACAACGCCCGGTGATGATCGCCACATCCTGACAATTTATGTGAGAAATATACTGAGTCAAAAAAGAAACTTCACATTCTTTCTTCAGGGCACTATAAAAGAACAAGTGATGGTAAGATGGTTAAATTGTTATTTTTTCATTGCTGAGATCCGTGTGATGTACTCGATACACTGACAGTGCCATAATCAGTTCCATTAGGCTACACCGCCGTTCCAAAACATGGGTATACAGAATGTCAAATCACAAGAATAAAAATACGAAATTTCTCAGTTCAATATCGTGTATGGCCGCCCCGCGCATTCACCACTGCCAAACACCGTCTCCTCATCGACTGCCTGATGCTTGTGAAGACGTGGTTGGGGATTCTGCGCCATTGCTCTTGCAAGGCAGCGCCAAGTTCCTGCACATTCTGAGGTTGGTTCCTTAGACCATGAAGCCTTCTCCCAAGTGCATCCCAAACGTGCTCTATTGGATTACAGTCAGGGGACCTCGATGGCCAGTCCATGACGTTGATTCCAGCGTTTTGAAGGAAATTTCGTGTCAACATCGCGGTATGCGGCCGAGCATTATCATGCTGGAACTGTAGACCTGGGCCATGAGCCGCCATGAAAGGAACGAGTTCAGGGGTGAGCACCTGGTCGCGGTAAGCAGCAGCTGTGAGGTTTCCACGGATGACCAGAAGTTGGGAACGGTTGTTCCCACAGGAAGCACCCCACACCATGCAACTTCCGCCCCCGAATCTGTCGACTTCCTGTAAACAACACTGGGCATACCGTTCACGACGTCGTCTCCAGACTCTATGCCTGCCGTCTGCGATTCTGAGGGTAAACCTGGATTCATCGCTAAAGACGACTCGATTCCAGTCTCTCTGGGTCCATCGGAGGTGACGTTGGGCCCACAGCAGACGTTGACGTTGATGAAACGGCGTCAATATTGGCCCACGATATGGACGTCGAGAATGGAGCAGCCCGCAACCGATTTCGAATGGTCTGTGAGGACAGTCGACCTCTAAACATCTCAGCCCTTGTTCGTGTAGCCGGCTGAAATCTGTCACGTAAGTGACGTAGGACGATTTGACGGTCTTCTTATCGTGACGTCACACGTGGACGACCCGACCTTGGGCGATCAGAAGTGGTGCCAGTTTGTTGTAGACGACCTCGCAAGTCATACACAGTACGACGGCTGCATCCCATTGCTCTTGCGATGTCAATAACTGAACTTCCCGCTTGCAACATGCCAACGGCACGTTCACGTTGCACATTTGACAATCGTGGCATTTCAAGTACTGTTAGAACTGTGGTTTAAAAGTGTTTTTTCAATTCTTGAGGCCAATGCAAACACGTGCATATGAAGAAAACTTCGATTCGAAGATCACGTGATCGACTGCACGTGCAAAACCTAATTTGGCACTAACGTCATTTGCACGACGAATAGATGGGTTTGAGTGGGTTTTGCTAACGTTTTTCTAGAGTGGAAAGATAGGGATCCCATTTCGGATACATAGATGTATCATCAGAGAAAAATTATTCATTATTTTTCAAATTACATTTTGTGAAGTTTCTTTTTTGACTCAGTATAGTTTTGTAACGGCGTCATCAACGGCAGCGACGGCACTAGGACACCGTATCTGTCGACATACACTGTACCGGCGACTGTGAGAATATGGTTTTCGAGCACGTCTACCCGACCGCGGAGTGCATCTGACTCTGCAAAACAGTCGTCGTCGATTGAGATTGGCCAGACGAGGTCGACGTTGGCAGATACGTGGTATATCTAATAAATACATGTCTTAGCTGTGTTTTCAATGTACAGTGTGGCATTATAATTGGTAGGGTTTCCTGTAGATGTGAGCTATACAACGATCTTATATTATTCCAGCCCTGACGGAAGAAAGCCTTGCTCTGCTTACAAGAACGCCACAAGCTACATAGACAACCACAACATAATCCACTTTGGAAGTAACATTCAAGGAATACCAAATCCTTTCATCATACATGCACCCACAGCAATACCGGTAGGTTTGTTGCCGAAATTTGAAGCTAAAACAGCACCGGCAGTATCTGACTACACAACAGGAAGCTGTGTACACCCCATACACTGTGTGGGGAAGGATGAAGTGAGTCAGACTGTGATAGATCTGGGATGAATCAAGTCGAGAAATCAATAAAAACGAAACTTTTCCGAGTTGTTTAGTCATAAATACTTCCAAAGGACAAAACTGCAACTGTTACATGTATATCAAATTATTGGGTTTGTGTCATTATCGTCTTGCACCAGAATAGTGCTAGCATGATTTTACTCATGGCGAAAGTCTAGATATAGACACAGCCATATTTCTGAAACAGGAATGTATTAAATATTGACTGTTTAGTGATGAAAATCCGCAGATGGTGCCTGATATATTTTATGTAAATGAGAATATTTTATGTTTGCGATCAAGTTACTATTTCGATGGACACTTAAAAGCATTATGTTCTAGATCTAGGGATTTAGATAAAATGGTCTCTTTGTATTGACCGTAAATGCTTCTATCATTTACCCGACTGTCTCAGTGCTGGCGACTGTAATTTGGTCCTCCATCAAGACGTTAACTGCACAAAGTGAATCGAAAATAAGCTTTAGAGCCTATTAACACACAATGCAAATCCTCGTATGATACATTCAAGCATTAAACTTAATTATCTTCTCACTATTCTTTCTGAATAATGCAACTGACCGTGATGTGGATGGTTTCATATTCAATTCGTTATCAAATTAGAGCCACATTGTGAGTAGTCATACTATGTCATAAATATCAAGATTTTGGTTTGTTGTTTAAATCCGCACTACGCAGTATTCCAGCTATATGGCGGATTTCTGTAAAAAAGGGAGTCTGGACCAGACAATCCAGTAATCAACAGCTTGAACATCGATCTAGGCATTTGGGATACGATGACATGTGTCAACAAAGTCAGCGAGCCTGGACACCAGATCTCGTTTATCGCCTGTTACGACAAGCATGGGTTATTGAAGACCAATTGTAGCCCGCATCTAATGGGCACCATAAGGTATTTTTATAAACTGATGCTCACAGCAGATGATATACCAGATGACAAACTGAAATGTATTGAGTGTTTTATTTCCAGGTTAAAGATTGAGGTTCGTGCCTACTGTGACCGGGACTGGTACGGGTCTGCGTGTGAGAAACATTGCAAGGCCACTCCTGACCACAGTCACTACACGTGCCACACACACACAGGAGCTAAAATGTGTTTTGAAGGTATGCTCAGATGGCTGATGTTAGTGTAGATAGCTATTACGGTCTGTAAAAATTTTGAGCTGAATACATGTCCGCTTCTTGTTATATATACTATTCACACTTTGCTAAGGATCAAATCATTGATTCAACAGAAAACTATGGTGGGGTCTAATTTGGTTTAAATATCTAAGCTTATTGTAAGCATGGGTCCTAGGTTTCAGTATGTCGCTGCATCTTGTGGATCCCATGCCTGCTATTGACAGGTGTTGTGTACTTGTCAATGACTCGTTCCATGATTTGCAAAATAGTTGATTGGTGCCATGAAAACCATTTTTATGATTACTGATGTATCAAGTGCATATGGTTAGATAAGTCGCTTTTTGCCTAAAGATGGGTTACCATATCAATATTTATCCAGTTTTAAATAGATACAATTTCAAATTATCAATCTATGTTTAAGTAAAGTTGGGAATTTTTGTGATCCTTAGCAAAGTGTGAGCAGTATATCACGATTTTTTGTGTTGATGCGAAACTACACTGAAAACAGAATACCAGATGTGCACGAGATCCTTCCTTGGTACAGATGTATATTTTTACCATCTCACTAAAATATCACGTGGAAATGCTTAGGTATGCAATATCATTATTTTACCAGAGATGGTTAACCAGTCATATACCGAGTGTTGGAATATCATTGTTGCGCACGTCTTTAATGAACTTCTATATTCCGAATGTTTATGAATAGCTTTGATGGCCAAATGTCACCGAGGTCGTTTATCTACTCTCCATAGGGACCGTTCATGATTGATGAGTGGGGTTAGGGGTGATGATGATCTTAAGGGGGTCACCCATTTTGCTCTGGGGAGGTACAGGTGGCAATCGTTTCCCATATTGGGGAGGTAAGGGAGACATAATTTTTGTTCATATGTATTTGTATTAAAAATTGTGAATCAAGATTCGTACAACGGTATTAATAATCATCAATAACTTCTATATCTTCGTTTACCTTGTTCACATCACTTTTTGGTGATTAACTAATTACCATGTCGTAAAAATGATCATTTCTGTGTTTTTTCTGAATTACTAGCCACAGAGAGCTATAATTAGTTGTTATATAGAACGCCAGTGCCCAAAAATCCGGATTAAGCACGTTCTGTCATATTGGTAGCACCCGGTAAAACAGTCGACAGAAGTACTAAAACAATAAGATAAATAAAAGCGGTGAAAGAACGCAGCCCTGTGGATCGTCAGTTTTACTGTGGGGGATCCTGTCCCAGTTACGCTAACAATTTGGGATTACACTTTCTCAGAGACGTGCAGACGCTAGTAATTTATGGGGTTCAGTCCTGTCCGGGAGTCGAACACACACTCTCAGAGACAAGCATCTAATCGCCAGTACACAACGTCAGCGATCTAACCCACCCAACCATCGCGGCTTAAGCAAAGACAAAGTCTACCTGGTTGTCAAGATAACGTATTTTCTGTACCCCTCTAGCAAGTGTTGCCATTATACACGTCACTTGACCTAGACTACCAGTCATTTTGGCGTGTAATTGTCCAACGGTTAAAGGGTTAAACAGCAACAAAAGCGTTATTTACTCAACGGGCAGCTCCCGTGGCAAGCAGTAGCAGCCTCTGTTTATTAGTTCATGTAAGGTGTTTATTACATGCTGCTTGTTCCTCGTCATATACTTCCTCAACTTTGTTTAGGAAGGCGATGTGAAAACATCATCAACCAGTGTGTACTGGCACCATGTCTGAACGGAGGGACATGTCACGGAAACGAAACAGCCTTCAACTGCACATGTTCTGTAGAGTGGACTGGCGAGACATGCGCAGAGAAGGTGAATTACTGTGACAGCGACCCCTGTAACAGAGGGAATTGTACACCGGACTTCCTGACGGCAACTCGGTTCAAGTGTAACTGTGATTTTGCATGGATAGGGGAAAGATGCAGTCATGCTGTTGGTAAGTGGAATATTATCCCAGTTTTTCAACTTTGAACTGTAATTGTTTTCTTTTATTTTAGCGTCATTTCCGGCATCATGAATTATCGCACAATAAACACAGTTTCAATATACGATAACTCTGCCTATGACTCCAGTCTAAAGGGAATATTTCTTTCATGCTCTTTGGTTGTCTCCTAGCTATTTACGTATTCTATGCATATTTATAAGAACTGCAAGTTGTGTAAATACAGATATTATCAACATCACGCTCCTGGGTGAGATTGATCATACAAAAAGAGGTGACTTGGCTTTTGGCCTGAACAGACTCATCACCGAACTCGGGGGAATTCCTGGAAAAGTGGATGTCAAGTTTACAACAAACACACAGAAAGAAAGCAAGTAAGTGGTAAACTGGGTGTTGCTGTGCCAGCACACAATGACTCCAGTATTTGAGTGTCCTACCTGTAATGAATGGTACGATCTTTATCAAGTTCGTGTTTTAAAATATTTTGCATCCAACAGTGAAACAAACAGCGGTTTACGATGACTTCAATGCTTTTCCTTGAGAATCCTCCTTGTAACTAAGTTTGTGTTTGACTATATGTTTCAGTTATACTACAACGTACATACAACTCTATTTTGCTTTGGAGAACGGCTCCATTCTAGAGAGTGCTTCATTAATTATGATCTTCGAATCCAACCCTGACGAGGTCATCAATGAATATCTGCCTCTTCCAGTGTACCCACGTCAACAAGAAGAGAAGGCGAAGATTACGGTGATCCAAACGATGGCAACAGAGGTTCGTTTCGATATCATGTTAATGTCAATGAAAAAACCTATGCATTATTTGAATTTAGCTCATGACATGAAATGTGTTTGTCCTTTGTAAGAATGTTTGTATATTTGTTGTGTGACGCTACGCAATACTCTATGACGGCAGTCTGTCATACATTGACATGTAATCAGTCAAGCCAATAGACCACACAATCCAGATAGACGTCTCTTTTGTCGAGGGCGGTGGGGTAGCCTAGTGGTTAAAGCGTTCGCACGCCACGCCGAAGACCTGGGTTCGATCGCCCACATGGGTAAAATGTGTGAAGCCCATTTCTGATATTGTTGGAATACTGCTAAAAGCGTCGTAAAACTAAATTAACTCACTCACTCTTTTGTGAACATGGGTAGGATGCTGGAAAATATGCACGTAACTTGAATCCTCACATATCTCTACGAAGCAATACAACAGAACAATACCTGGTCCTTATTGAAAGATTTAAACTGCAACTCATTAAAGTGTCATTTGAAAGCAAAAGCAATAATACTGTCACCTTCACAGTTCCAATTTAGATGTGTAAGTTTATTGTGAAAATCCCATTTGACTATATTTGTTCAATTGTTTCAGAGATTGTGTAACAGATGGGAAAACGGCCGTTACGTGAAGACCATTGGAACTCCTTTAGGATTTGTCCTTATGACTGTACTATTTCGGGTGGTTTTCTGGGTCTGGAGAAAAAGATCGTAAGTTGCACATGACATTCCCTTTGATTAACATGGAACATTGAATTAGGCAAGGACGACGGATAATTTGAAGAACGTAATTATTTTAATCAGACACACACATGCACGCACGCACGCATGCACACACTCACTTACACGCACACACGATAGATTGATGGGTTTACTATTCAGTATAACCATGTTGTAAACATATGTAAGACCATTTCAAATAGTACTTTGATATCTGAATGTCATGTCGAGAGTAGTTTAGGAGATTATATTCAACAAAAACAACAATTTATTGTGTTATTTGTTTCGATTTCCAGACACACCTCTGACCAATTCTTGGAAGACGATCAAATCAGCCTTTTTGTAATGGATGTGGCATGCAACAGGAACCTAAACAGACCAGGTAACGTCACAGGCACAGTACGTCAGGATGCAAGCGTATCTCCAGATGGATACACAAGTCTTCACTTCAATGTCCATGATGGATCACTCGACACAGACTGTGATGACACATCACACATCCACATAGCAACTGAAGATATGATATTCGATCCAGTGCTTCAAGATGACAACAATCTTCACGATGACGAGGCAAACCTAGATAACCGCCTCCACGTTGCCTCATACATCCAACCAGTCCCTGAGGATATTACCCTTGACCCGGGGAGTCAAGAGGATGAGCAGAGTACACTGTCATCGATGACAACGATGTTGAGGACCCCTTACAGGAAAACCCTTATGAAACGATAGAATCTTTGGAGGACAACGATGTTGAGAACATCTCACAGACAAACCCTTATGAAAAGAATTTTTTTTAGCTCCCTATGACGATGTATTGGTCAACCAATAATGGTGTAAGATATTAATTGCTTCTTTTATGCGACTGATAGGTGACCGGAAGTGCCAACATCAAACTGTCATCGCATGCAGTTCAAGTGCATCAGATCAGTTAATAGCTCGGTGCTTAAAGTCTTGTCTTGCACGTGGGCAGACCAGGTTCTAGTTCACAGGTTGTGAACACCCAAAGGAGGATCTATTAAGAATGATCTAATGATTGTGGGTAAGCACAGTGTAAATATCAAGGCCAAATGCCAGGTTACCTAGAGCACTGGTTAAGTCTTCAGTAAACCCTTTCCGATGTCCTGCTGGTACAATGTGTGATGTAATTATAAACAGATGAAGTTTTACTTAACTTGGACATCGCATTGCACGTGTTGATTTGTGCGTTGTAGGCTGACCGGGTTCTAATTCCAAGTTGGGCCCATGTTGTGAACACTATGTGTAAGATCTACTTACAGTGATCTAATGAATCTAGGATACCTGTTACGATTCCCCATTGGTACAACGTACGATGCCGATTCATGGTGATCCCCGCCGTGAGTGGATGGAATATTGTTTATGCTCTCTCTGACGCTACATAGTCATTAGCCATGGTATGTCCATACATTTTCTTTATTTACTGATACAGACGGAGACTTGTTTTTAAATACGCCTCATTAATCTAAGTATATTCTGTATTAGCCTTATGCAGGTTTGACTAACATTTCAGACTAACTGCAAGTTCAGGTTTGCAAATAAAATTACTCTTAACGCTTTTTTTGTTCACTTTCTCACTTCACTCCTTGGCCTTTCTAGACATGTTAGACATGAAAGATAAAACGCCCATGCAAGATAATAACCTGATATTCCCCAAAACAGATTGCATTTGGCAGAAATTGAAATGACTCTTTAAGCTTTTATTATTCACCTTTAGTCGCCATACTTGTTTTACTCAACTTATCGACCTTTCCAGACAGGTTGGGCATACAATGTTAAATGACTTCCATGCAATGACTCCAGGTGTTCTTGAAAAGGATACGCATGTCCTGCCCATAAAACTATTCCTTCCTTGCCTGACAATGCACAGCAGTACTCCTGAATTTCGGTGGTGGTCCTTAAAGACAATCAAGCAACCGACGGACCAGAAAGTCCAGACACCTGATAATGTATTTAGTAAGTTTGCTGGAAAGGTAATAACATTTTTGAATTCCGTCTGCTGTGTACACGTACGAACACTGTCCTTCTTAAGGGTAAAGAAATAAGGCTTCAGAAATATCTCCCTTATGCAACACAGTGTAGGGGCAAATTTAATGCGCAGACAAAGCAATTCTTTGTTGTAGATTCAGCATGGGTAAAGGATATTTGGCTAATGGCTGACTTTACACCACCAGCAGAATATCGACCCAGCTGAAGTAAACATAAAAGCGCCACTGCATGAGAATAAACCCTGTTTTGAATATCTTCCGGAACAGATTCTATCTTGCATTAAGAGCTAAATGTCTGTGCGAGTAATGTGAATGAATCACTGCAAAACAGTGATGGCTAGTAATCGCAGAATGGATAAGCATGTTATGCCCTACCTGTAGCACCCCGCACTAACACAGGGAACATACAGCTAATACTCAACAATCGAAGTAAGAGCTAATACATGTAGAAAAAGGTCACAAACTAATTTTTAACTCATTGCCAAAATTTCCTGTTTCCCTGCATTACGACAACATTCTCGATACAATCGACACTAATACAAGTGAGAAATCAAGCACTTGTGAACATCAGCGTTGTCGTCCTGAGAACCAAATTCAGATTCTGTGATATGAGTGAAATAGTGTTATAACGACTCAATTACTTTATGCATAACTATCCGTGCGTGGGTTATTTGTGTTGGAACAAGTTTCAAAAACTTCTCAAATGTTTTTTTTATCCTGGACATAAACGTACTACATTAATTGAGCCGAGTATATAAATGATTCCTGCATTCGTCCTTTAGGATGCCAGGGACACATCTCCAATATCCCACATTAGCTAGTTTACATAACTGTCACTGGTTTATATAAAACAGCTTTCGTTAATGTCACACTTTCGTTGTATTTCCGCAACATAACATAAAGGAAACATGAAAAAGAAACGTGTGAAACTCGATGTATGTCACTGAAGGTAAAAGGCAGTTTCGGCCACAGGATGTACCAGTCGGGTGTGTTCAGTGGTTGCCGTCTGATCTGCATCCAGCACCTTCGGTCCACGTTTGAGGGACAACACCATCGAAGATGAAGACAAGGGGAAAACGTCGATGTGTAGCTTTACTTCTCTGGCTGTTGATTATCAGGGTAGGAAGTTAAAAAGCAGTTTCGGCCACAGGATAAACCAGTCGGGTGTGTTAAGTGTTTGCCGTGCGATCGGCATCCTGTACCTTCGACGCATGTGTAAGGGAAACCTGCATCGTCTTTACAACATTTCTACATGCGTATAAGGGCATCATTGTTCTTTTGTTTGTTTGACGTTGCCACCAAATTATGAACATGGGTCGGTAGGTTGGGAATAATAATAAAAAAAAATAATCTAAAATTTTCTGAATAGTAATCTTGATTTATAGTAATTCTTATTACAATTTCTTGTGTGTGTGAGAGAGGGAGAGAGAGAGAGAGAGAGAGAGAGAGAGAGAGAGAGAGAGAGAGAGAGAGAGAGAGAGAGAGAGAGAGAGAGAGAGAGAGAGAGAGAGAGAGAGAGAGAGAGAGAGAGAGAGAGAGAGAGAGAGATATGCTTGTCGTAAGAGGCGACTAACGGGATCGGGTAGTCTTGGACTTGGTTGACACATGTCATCGGTTCCCAATGTCGCAGATCGATGCTCATGCTGTTGATCACTGGATTGTCTGGTCCAGACTCGATTATTTACAGACCGCCGCCATATAGCTGGAATATTGCTAAGTGCGGCGTAAAACTAAACCCACTCACTCACTCACTCTTACAATATATAGATAGATTAAACACTCTTTATGGCAAACCTCGGACAGTGCTATCAAACAGGAAGATATCTTCAGCGAAGAGTAACATGAACAGTCGACAGACACCAAGGTCAAGACATCTATCTTCATCAACATCACGAATAATCACTAATATACAATAAAAATAGCAGTGGTGATAGTTGGCAACCCTGTTCTACTCAGCTCACACAGCTAAACAGTTTTGTGTAGCCATCTTGCAATGATATACAATGATTTAACATTTGTATACATATTTCTAAAGAGTCTAAAACTTTTACCTTTCACATTGCCAGTCCAAAGTTTTAACACCAAACGTGTTCTGTTGATGGAATCAAATGCAGTTTTAAGATCAACGAAACAGCAGTGTAGTCTGACCTTATATAAACACATTGTCCCTGCGGAGCTATGGTAATAATTAAACATAAACAAACATGTGGCTAACCTGATAATGGCGATACCGCTAGTGACCAGGAACTATTTTTCAAATCTAAAGTGATATCTGTTTGGCATTGTGTGTATGATCATAACATGATGGCTGATTGTCACTATAACCTTTATTTCTGAAATATTACGTGATTTTCATATTATAAATACTCAACACAAAATCAGAAAGATATGTTGAATATGGTACAAAAACCTAGTTTCAAACAGGACACAGTTTTCGTCATGAGCACCGGTCACGAATAACTAGGGAAAACATGATTCATGTATGCAAAACAGCTTTTAATATATGAACACACACATAATATCTGTATATGTACAAAACATCCTACTGATATGTTTTAACTTTCTTGAATCATTCATACATAGATATATTCAAGTATTTGTTTCAATACACCAAATTAAAAAAACAAATGTTGTCTGATATTTACCTTGACTTAGTTATCTGTTGAATACTAAAGGAGTAGAGTCTGTTACTTTCATTTTCTAGTAATTCTACACGGAAAAGTAGGAAATATTATGATAATGGATTGAACAAAGCAAACATATGTACATGAGGATAAAAAATGACATATCCAATTGTGAGTGAGTGAGTTACAGCTGTCAGATCTGTGTTTATTCCACTACCACGTTACGTTATGCATGTGTTGAGTGTTGAGTATTCGATTAAGTCAAATGTCAATGGAAAACGGATAATAGCCAACAAGGTACATCTTCGTCGTTGTAAATAGTGAAACAGGTTGTGTTGATTATTTTCTGACTGCTCTCATACAATACAGCTTAACTACTGCTGGGTGAGACGTTTAACAGCAAACGCGCACATGTCTTTTGGGTCAAAGCATTTCTGCTGGTATACATCACAGGTAACGAAAGTTTACTGCATATGCAATTTGTTTGCTAAAATGCTGTGGTCACACAGACGTGACCGATGTAAGCAGTCTTAGTTCTGAAACTTTCACTATCCTGGCCAAACATATCACGTCATATACATGTATGTAAATGTGTTAAAGGGGCGATTCTAACCTCGTGTCACTGACACGGGTAAATACCAAGTTGAACTACTGTCTACGGTTTCATTTAATCGACAAAACCCGTTGCACGTCCAGGAGAATTTGTGTCGGGATTACGATCGATTGCACTACCAATTTTACTACTACTATAGTTTGTATTGCAGTAAGAGAAATGAGTACATAGTACATAGTACAAATGATAGTTTATGCTTCAGTACCTATTTAACCATTGCAATTATTAAAAATATATATCCTCATAAGGATGGTCCTCCGTTGCCCCATCTACATTAACGTCATTGATGACAACGTGGTCATCGGATCCTTTCTGACAGCTGCTACCAAGTGTTGCATAGCTGCTGTTGTCTGGTGTAGTTGTAGCCAAATGAGAATAATGGTTCTCGCCAGGAAGCGTGTCGTGAATGGGTTGGATGTAGGATGTGACCTCTTGACGCGAGCTGAGTCTGGCTGCGGTTCCAAGACGCGTGTATCCCTCTGTGGATGCTCTTGCGTCCTCCTCACAGCCTGTGGTACGTCTGTGCTTGTCCTGCACGGTCCTGTTTACTACATCCATTTCGATGATGTTTCCCGGGTTGTCCTCAGGCAATTGTACTGATTCGTGCCTTTAACGAAACTCCAACAATTTCAAATCACGTTAAATACCGCCGGTTCAATTTCCTTCATGACACATCTATTTACTTACGTGACCGGTGTTCGTATTTTGAAACATTAGACCTCAAGAGTAAACTTATAATAATAAGAATATTATTGTGATAATTAATGTCAAATGCTGTTAATACCCAACCAAGGCACATCACTTACGACTTTCTTCTATAAATGAGGAATGCCACACACAGTGCCACCAGCACAGGTCCAGCAGAGAGAGGTCCAACCACCTTATACCAGTTACTCTTGAACCAACTTCCCTGTTGTAACAGACACATGGATGTCAGATTGATATCACATTCATGTCACATGCACACACAAATCAAAGACGTCGATTTCCATAATGTTGCATATATTACATAATTAACATATTTTCAGACGGACGAGATTGAAGGGAGAGTATGCATGGTGAAATACAGTTGATCAATTTGTATATAATGCATTTATGATAACATTCGGGGAAAGCATTTTCACATGATTTTAATGCGTTTTACCTTTGCTATAATTCAAAGACGTACTTACATGAGGTTTGTGTGAAGGCATTACAACATTTAATATTAATCACACAACATATTTATATAACCCGGTATCAGAAACGTGCAACAACCTCTGCTATCTTTTCTTGAGTAATTATATCGGCCTCCTGTTTATCCGTGTCCCTCGCTGTGTAGAGGGGGGTAGGGAGGTGTTGGTTGATGTCGGAATAACTGTTTGATGAAAAGATCTCTCTTACAAAGTCACTCGTTAGGAAAGTACCAGTTTCCAATGTCACATAAAACTGGACCTGCGTTGTGACATTTCTGAAATTAGAATAAGAACTTGTTAATATATAATTGAGTATATGTTATGGAATATTTTAAACAGAAAGAATAAATGTTGTTGTAGCTATTGAATAAAACAATGTTCAGTGACTCCAAATGTTGTTTGCTTCAAATACATATCATTATGAGTATATTCTGAATTAAACCCTGATACATCTTGATTTTGGAAAACATCCAAGGACGTAAAGGTATGTGAGTGAGTAAGTTAAGATTTAGAGTCACATCGGCAATATTTCAGCCATATCGAGACTGTAAAGGTATGTAGGTGTTGAGATGTCATTATGGAATAATTTGAAACACCTTTGATAAACTTATGCTTTCACTGTTGATATGTGTTGACACCACGACATTTATTTGCTCCTCTATTCCTCCCAGATAATTTATGATTTTCCTCAAGCCAGTGGTCAGACTGCCTCTATTGTTATCATCAATCACCCCAAGGACGGTGATGTTGGTAATATCTTAAATAATAGGAAACATCATTTTTTTTTATTTGTTGTTACAGGTGTATCTGGTGTGCCCAAGGCAATAGGAATGACTATTTGTGAAGAAATCTTCATAAAAGATAATCCCCTTTATATTATATAAATATTTGATAGTTTAAGAGAAACACAATGAACATAAATTATCATATTAAGACAAGTCAAGCGAAGAATAACTAAAACATTACGGGACTAAGTATAAACTACAAATACATGTACCTTATTCACTTACCAACATTCATATCACACGTATCCCCAGTCCATGGAAAATCACAGTCACATTTGAACCGTGCTGGGGTCTCGGGTTTAGGAATGCACTTTCCCCAGTCACATGGGGCGCTGTCACAGTTTATCCGCTCTGCGCATGTCTCCCCAGACCACCGGAAAGGGCATGTGCAGCTAAAGTCTGTTTCGTTTCCATCACAGGTCCCTCCGTTCAGGCATCTATTCAGGGCACAGTGGTTAGTTACAAGTTCACAATTCCTCCCTGAAACAGATGATGTTTGTTTTTGGTTGGTTTCACACTAATGTTTTTGGTTAATTGGTTAATGTATATTGACGATATACATTACCCTTACTTTTGTACCCGGGTGTATAGTATAATGCCAACAATATGTTATATGATTAGGCAATTGTGCCACTACTGTCCTCTCACCTGTGATTCCCTCCACACACTGGCACTGGAAGCTTCCATGTGTGTTTGTACAGCTGCCATCATGTTGACACAAGTCCGCTGTTTCAGTGCATTCGTTGATGTCCTGATCACAGTTATCTCCTTTCCATCCTGCAGTACAAATGACATTCTTCATCCAGATGTTTGATAGGCATTTAGAAGTTGGTAGGGTAATACAACACACTTGATATGGATCTGGAACTTCTTTATTATTTACACACGATGTTTCTGGGCTAATACTTGCCCCGTCAAAATGATAAAGAAGTTGCATCTGTCATTCACCTGATGAAGGGGCAAGTATTAGCCCAGAAACGCCGTGTGTAAATAATAAAGTAGTTGCACATCCATATCAAGTGTCTTGTATTCTTCATCCAGTTTATAAAACAGATATTTGTGAAAATACCAAACTTAGTTCAACAGCTCTGTGTTCTCGTATTTGAAAGATATCACCCAACCCGATGTCCACATAGAAACCAAAACAATATGCAATACAACTACTCATAATGTACCTTGGGAGCACATTTTGGCCCCGCTCAAAAACTGGCAGCTGTAATGGTCAGTGGTGGACGCCTTGCAGTATGTCAGACAATCAGAACCGTACCAGTCAGGATCACAGTAGGCACGAACACTCATTTCTAACCTAAAGAAAAAATTTCATGTGACTTTGTTAGTTGTTACATGAATGTCTAACCTTTCCTTGTTTATATTTCAGATACATAATTTATATTTTATCTGTTCTCCCCGGGTCTGCTTATTCAGCAAATCGTGTGTTACATGCATTGCATAGATGCGGCTAACGTCTTAATCTATTCTAGAAGCTAGCTCGTTTTTCAGTTCAATAACAGCACGCGATCTTCGGTATATATGCTTGAAAGGGTAATGGATGGTAATGGATGAAAGTGAAATGGACCTACTTGGTTCTGCCCTGCGGGTAATATTGCATGTATGGAGACATGATTTTGTTTGGACTGACAGATATGTTGATGGATGTTGCCAGAGTATCCATGTAATCATCGTCGCTTGCCAAGTCATCATCATGCACAGTCACCTGTATCTTGATCGAGGACTGTTAAAACAACAGGTGTGCGTGTATATGAGACATACAAATATGTACATTCAACCTTTAACGAAAAATATAGACAGATTGACAGTTGTTATTATTATATTATATCATTGCTGTATCTTGGGAGTGAAAGACATTTGATTATAGATCAACTTTCCCTACCGGCACTGCTTTGTGTATCTGTATAATAAAAGGATTTAGTGTCCCTTGAATGCTGTTGCCGAAAACCACATCATTGCTTCCAGTGTCCATTCCTTCTGTAGTCCTCTTGTACAGAGAACATGGTTTTGATTCACGAGGGCTGAAATAGTACAAAGATTAATGTTTGAAAAGTAAGCATATCCGAGGTTAAAATATAAGTGAGTGAGTGAGTATGATTTTACGCCGCTTTTAGCAATATTCAAGCAATATCACAGCGGGGTCACCAGGAATGGGTTCACACACTGTACAAAGGTACACATTGTACCCATAGGCTAACACAGGGGTCAAATATGAGGGACTTGATTCCAGATTCACAAGCTGGATTTAGAAAGGGGTACTCAACCTTTGATCATATTTTTAGTGTATATTCAGTAAGTGAGCGATGTTTAGCTTTTAGTAAAAGAAAAGTGTATGCAGCTTTTGTTGATTTTAGAAAGGCTTTTGATTCTGTTGATAGAGATAAAATGTGGAAATGTCTTGGAAGTAGGGGTCTTAAAGGGAAAATGTTTGATATTTTCAGGTCAATGTATTCAAATGTAAAGTCTTGTGTTCGATAAGATGATGCTTTCAGTGACTATTTTGATTGTCCTACTGGTGTACGACAAGGCTGTGTTCTAAGCCCCATACTTTTCTCATTCTCTCACGAACTATATTTTGACGTTATACACTCTGGCTACATGGCATCCAATTATTTCCTAATCTTGTTGAACTTTCTATTTTACTTTTTGCCAACGATGTGATCCTTATGTCAAGTACTGTTATTGGCCTTCAGAGACAATTTGATACAATTTCATCTTATTCAGATAACTGGCGACTTGATGTTACTCTTGAAAAGACCAAAATTGTTGTTTTACGTAAGGGTGGTCCAACGGAAGCTACAGAAAAGTGGTACTTTAAATGTGAACGCATGATTGTTGTTAACGAATATAAATATCTAGGGAAACTCTTTACACATACACTAAATCTGAATAAATCCATGATTTATTTGGCAATTAAAGGGAAAAGGGCCCTACTCAAATTTCTCTCTGTTATACCAAAGTTGGGGGTTGCTGGTCCCAATATATTTTTCAAATTGTTTGATTCCCAAGTACAGCCTATTCTTCTTTATGGGTCTGAAATTTGGGGCTATAAGGAAGTTTATGCCATTGAAAAGGTTCACCTTCTTGCATGTAAAAGGTTTTTAAATGTTGGGATGTCTACCCCTAATAATATGGTGTACGGTGAATGTGGGAGATTTCCTTTGTACATAATTTCTTACTCTCGCTGTTCAAAGTACTGGTGTAAAGTAATAAATATGCCAGAACATCGTCTGCCCAAAAAAACCTACAATATGATTGTCCATCTTGATAATATTGGTAAAAAGGTTCTGTCCATTTTGTAATGCTTTAGAGAATGAATTACACTTTCTATTTCTTTGTCCTTCATATAATGATTTAAGGCAACTGTATTTTCCACAATGGCTACAATCAAATATTAAAGCTACAAAACAGTATTCAATACTTTCATATAAAGCATCCCTGTTACAATATTTAGCTCTGTTTATTTATCATGCGCTTATGTTGAGAAGAGATTCAATGTAACGTGAGTGTCGTATGTTGTATATGTTGTACATATCATACATATTTATTTATGCAATAAACTGATTGATTGATTAATTGGGAATCGAACCCGGCTCGTCGGAGAGACGAGCGAACGCTTTATCCACTAGGCTACCCCACCGCCCCCGTTAAAATGTAAAGAATCATACAAGCACGTCTCATTTGAGTTCACACGCACTGTGTAAGTCAGGAAACCCGAAATATATAAAGTAATGCAAAGTGTTGGTACAGAGGAACTGGAGACAAGGTTTAGCATTACTCTCCCTATTTCCACACAAAAAGTCCAAATAGTACCTGAAGTAATCTTTCAGAAACATTTCTATTTGTTGTAACATACGTTGCATATTATCAACGAACAATTCCCCAGTGTAAAATTATATACATGTACCAAACATTAAGATTCAGCAATTCTCATGGATCGTATATCTTGTCTAAACGGAGATGAGGTAGTGCTGTTACTGATCCTGCTTGGACTTAAATTTCCATGAAACAAATGGTTAGATAGTGATGCAATGGTTAGATACCTACTCTTCAACGCACAGGGTAAACATTGGATCACATGCATCGCTGCATGGTGTTCCTACCCACGCTTCACAGCAATACCCACTGGGTACCCTTCCGTCTGACGAATATCTGATGAACCAAATGTCCAGCTTGCCCTCATTCTTCACCTGCTGAAAGGCGGAAGTCCATAACATAAAGGGATATTTTGTGGTTTCGGCGCATGCTCCTAAACGGACATCTTAATGATGATATAAAAACAAATGATATATTATATGTACCAGGATTAGCAAGACATGCAAAATACTGTACAGCCTATAGAACCATAACCTTTACTTGTTGACTATATATGTCGAATTGCTGCTTTAATATTGGTCACAATTTAGTAGGCTCGAAAGACTAAGTAAAGACAAGCAGAACATTTTGAGTGAGTGTGCGTCAGTTTAGTTTTACGCTGCACTCAGCAATATTCCAGCTTTATGGCGGCGGTCTGTAAATAATCGATCCTGGACCAGACAGTTCAGTGGTCAACATCATGAACATCGATCTATTCAGTTGGGATAAGATGACACGTGTGAACAAAGTCTGACCAAGGGTGTAGAAACACTCTGAAGAATAATATGCATATATTCGATCTGTTTGTAGACCATACACATGGGGAAAATGTATTGCAACCCATATATAGAAGTTTATATCCATTTCATAATTATGTTTGGTATTTTGACCCTTCGGGAGCAACATACATTGGTCTTACATATGCACGTGCTGTGAACAAAAGCGAGCATCACGTGTAATTCGTGTACCCGTCATTAAACAAATATCAAGTTTTTCTGTAAACTGTTCCTACAGCTCAATAATACTGAAAATGTATTTCGTTCATAAACAAATATGGGGCCTCCTCATCTGACAACTGCGAAAAAATGACACGTGATCGGTCGCTTCCACATTGACCGGGCGATTTTAGAGAAAGACGATATCTCAGACGTACAATGCAGCACGACTGGCTTGGTATCAAGCTCTACTTCATTGGAATGGGACGTTATGGGAAGGGTCGAAAGTCGATATCCTTTGTTCATGGCTGAAGGCCGAGCTCGCTATTGGCGCCACAGAAACACTGCATATGCACACCGGGATATCTTGGAATAAGTATCGTTTGGCGGAGGTTCGTTGATATTTCGGGGTGCCTCCCACATGAGTGTAAACGTGGCCTTGTGATGATCAGACAAAATCTAAATGGACCACTGTTCGCTGACATCTTAGACAGGGTTGTTGTACCATTTCGATCAGCATCCTCTGAACATTAGGTCGGTCTTCATGGACGACAATGCAAGGCCACATCGTGCGCGCGCCTTTGTGATTTCTTACATCAAGAGGAGGTATCTCTTCCTTGGCGCGCCACGAGTTAAAATCGCAATACCACAGAGCATGTTAGGAGTATTTGGGGTCGCAGAACATGCCAGAGAGATCCTCCAGTACATAACTGTGATGTATTGGGACAAGCCTTAAATCAAAAATGAAACGCAATACCTAAACGTCAAAATCAACGTCTGATACAGTCATCGTTCTCGGTTATTGATACATGTATGATTTCGTGAGGAATGCATACTAATGAAATAAAGTAACAGTGCATCATTTGGTGTTTTGCCATCTTTTAATGCAAACATATAATAATATGATTTGTGGTGTTTTCCTTTATCACTGTTTAACTGTTGACGGGACAATATCGAAATCGCATTAATTTGGCACAAGGCATCGTGAGAAGTGTGAAAAGTCGTGGTGTCAAGTGCCAGTTCACAAAGTCAGTATCTGTCTCCACCATTGCCGTCGATGCAGGATCGACAACGACGACGCCGTGACGACACTAAGCGATTGAAGAAAGCTAAGGAAATGTTGTTCTATGTCTGAACAAACGCTTGTCTCAATTCAGCTTACGACAGCTGATTCTGGGCTTGACGTAAACGTCGCTCCATTTCATCCTAAGCGTGCTCGATAGTGGACAGGTCCGGAGAAACAGCTGGCTAGGAAAGTACCGGAAGGTTCAGCTGACTCCGGAAATCTATCACAACAGGAGCGACATGTGGATGGGCATTATCTTGGTGAAGCGTGAAGTTACGGATCTGTCCTTTAAAGAACGGCTGCATGATGATTTCATCCCTGTATCGCAGACCTGTCACATTGAGAATGACAAGTTGTGGCCCAACAGTTGGTTATAATAGAAATGTTACATTTTGATCAACAATTAATCACACACATTTTCTTTTTAAGTTCTGACTCGATACTTTGAAGTATACTTAATGTACCATGCATCTATCATCCAAACATTTGTTCGGTTGCAGCAGAGAAACCAGTCATCACGGTTTGAAATAGAAGACTAACCCATAATTTTCTATCCCTTATAAAACCTGTCCATCAGTTAGAGTCATTGTATTGTAATTTATTGCTACATTTGTTAAAAGAATTTGATACCATTTAAAACATTTTGAATTCAAGTACTATCTTTCAGACATTTTTCTCTACAAACAGCAAGGCATACTGACCATCCCAGAGGATGTGTATGATACCGAAATAGAATTAAAGGATATATGTATCCTCTTCTTTTGGTAACCTATTTTCCGTTACAGAGCATCTGCTATGTATAGTATTCTCAGAAATTATTGAGAAAGTTGTTCTGGTAAATATCTTATACATGTATATAACTGTTGAAGTTTTACTTAATGAATATGTTGAGATGTGATTCTCTTATAGTCTAAGTGCCTTTTCAGTACTTTGTGAGACCTCCTTGCCCTGCAATATCCGACTGAATGGGCCTAGGCGCACCACGGATCAAAGTTTGTAGGAAATCGTGTGACACCGTATCCCATTATTCGACCACTTCTTTCTTCATATCCTCAATGTTTCTTAGCCTTTTTTTGGTTTATTCTGTGCTTCATTAGTCCCCACACATTCTCAATAAGTTTAAGATCTGGGTTGTAGCTGGGCCAGTCTAAAACTTGAAGATTTTCGTCCGACAACCACTGTTTTGTGTAGCCCACGGTGTGTTTTGGGTCGTTATCATGCCCGAAAATCCAATTATCTTCGTACAGTGCTTTGGCCTTTGGAAGGAGGTGACCACTTATGATGTCAACATATCGTTCCTTCATAACATTTCCAGTGAAAATACACAACGGCGTCACTCCACGTGATGATATACCACCTCTCATGTGAAATTGCGGGCTACGTCTTGGGTGTTGGTAGATAGGTTTCACGGTATGTTTTGTCCAAATTTTCACACAGTTCGGAAAAAGCCAGACAATTTTCTTTTTATCCCAATCCTGATATTAGTGAGCACTACTACAGTTTAAACACGTTTTGTGGATCTTTCATCAATGGTGAGGGAATTCCGCGCTTTTCCACCCAGTTAAGTCTTTGTAATTCTTGCCTAAGAGTTTTATTACATACCTGAGGACTTCCTCTATTAATCATATTATTTCTGATATTCTCAACGCTTTTCAATTTTCTTCTACTCACAATCTGACCAAGTCGCCGGCGATCCGTAGTACTGAACTACCTTGGCCTATCTGCCCCTGTCTTGTGCTCAATCCACACTCCTGCCTGAATATTCTTCATGTTTCTGCATACTGTAGGCAGATGAATGTCATGTCTACCAACTAAATCTTTTAGAACCAGCTTTCTTTTCTCTTCTGCTGTCAAATCTGTCAAGCCAACAAAGGGAGCCGTGTGCTACACAAGGGGAAATATCTCTTGATGTTGGAGGGTTCATTCTAAAGCCTACAAGAGTTGCCTCCCATATTGAGTACCTTACAACATAATGTGACACGTATTTTGAAATTCTATTATTAGTGTTAGGAAACAAAGATGTTCTCAATAATTTCTGGGAAAACAGTAGCTATTGCTTTATATCTCGCTTTTACTTTCTACACTGCTCAAAGACATCTGCAGTGATATGTCTGTTTATTAGGAATCAATATATCATAGAAACTTGCTTTAAATTCAAATGTTATGATGACATACATTCGAATTTAAGAGAGAGAGAGAGAGAGAGAGAGAGAGAGAGAGAGAGAGAGAGAGAGAGAGAGAGAGAGAGAGAGAGAGAGAGAATTCAGAAATATAGCTGGAATATTGCTGAGTGTGGCGTAAAACTAAACTCACTAACTCACTTATACATCTACAAGTGTCAAAAGACATGATTCAGGCAAATGTTTCAGCAGCTGATAATGGATATTATCTTCACCTGCTGCAGTATCACGAGCTTGCTAAAACGCTGTGTGAAACTCATGTAATTTAAACAGTTCATATCTCAACCTTATGTGAATAAAAAAGAATGTGTGTTTTTTTCCTGTTGTTTCTGATGTCTCTGAAACTCAGGGACATAATTTGAAGATGATGATTTTTTTATGATGAATTAGTTTCGCCATTGAGTTGGATGATGAAATATTGTTTTGCCTTTTTCCTCGCTTTTCTGGCTTGCTGCAATCTGTATTGAACCATAGCTTCCGTACATGTTGAGTTGTAGAGGACTTTGGTATACAATCATCAGCTATTTCATTTATAACGTCAGAAAAAGTATGGATGCATCAGTTATATCACTGAAACATTCAGGTCATAGTTTAGATTAACATACAGTTTGATATAACGACCAGTAAGCCTTTGAAAAGTTCCATCTTGTATTCGATGGAGAATCAGATGGATTGATTTCTGAAAGTATAGTTGGGAAGTGGTCACTTCCGCAAAAGGTATTAATACCTAGAAAGATAATCAATTTCCCTACTAGATACCCTAGCAATGCATAATGACACATTTCGAATTTACGTATCCGTTTTTTTGTAAAAATATATTCTGATTACTGTGCAAATTGTACATTACTATTTCTATCTTTTCAAATATTTCATGCGGAAGTAAAACCAAAGGTTACAGTCATTTTCAAACAGGAATCAACACAGTTCTAGTTTTACAGTTTCGTGAATTTCTTGACATTTCATACAAACGACCTGGTTGCGGTCAATACACTGTCAAAGACTGTCAAATTTGATGTCAAGACTTTGGAACGTTAAAAATAGCTAAAGTAAGGCTACTCCGGCTTTCAGAAACTTGTATTTTGTTACAAATGGGAGTGAGTGAGTGAGGTTAGTTATTAGCCTCTTTTAGTGTCTATTTTTCAGAGGCAATTAGTAAAAGTTTTTATAGTGCATATAGTGACATGTGCATATCAATATTACGTTTATGTGAATATGAACCATTCTTTAATATCATACAGTTATTATTAATATGCACATATCAGAAGTATTTTAGGCTCAAAAAGTTTTCATATCCCCTGGTATTTAGCGCGTAGCATGCCTTTAATGCAATAAGATCACAAGCAAACACAAGATTTCTCATTCCGATTCAGTCTAAAACTGTATGGAACATGGATTATCAGTGAGACATGAGAAAAGACCTTTTCAAGAGGTAACTCCCCATGGTACCATGACTATTTCTGATAATAATGGAAATGGTTTTGTCACCTATATATGCCACAGACTGTGGTAATTGATGTGATCCTGCCAGCCAATGTTGCGGCAACCAATTTTTGTCTCAGAACATCGATCAATGCATGGCTACTCAGATCTAAAATTCCAAACATTTTACTTTCATACAGCCACTTTTTCGTATTTAAATTATCAGAACGTGGTTACCGGTTTACATTAATTAAATACATAAAGTTAAAAAGTTAAATCAAGCTATTATATTCTTCACAGTTGGCGCAGTGACGTCACACAATGAAACTATTATTAGTTGGTCGCAGCTTGATCGCCCTATCCTGTGTGACGTTGTAATTGTCTGCCATTGGTCATTAAGGATTGCTGACTCACTCCCCAAGAGAATCATTAAAGATTTGACAAGTATAAATCTCCATCAAGTCAACGTCAGTATATTCATGTTCATTCTGTCAATGCAAATGAGTATAAGTATAAAACCGTATGTTGGTATTTATACTCAGGGAGGATAGGACAGAACGGTCAGACTGGAAGACTTTCACGGGACCCAGGACACTCTTTCCCGTGTCCCCGATCACACTCTTGGTCGACCACTATCAGTGTCCGTTAAATAAAGTCTCCACCTACATGCATAGAATCTAATGACATTTGTCCGATATCGAACAACCAATAAGTAACGTTACCAAATGCATATTAAAGTTTTCTGTCACAATGAGAAAGAAAGAAAATATTTCAAGTAGAATTACAAATGGTAGAAAAAGAACATCCCAGCTATATCCTAACGAGGCGTTTCATTTATTTTATTTTCTGGAGTTGGTGATCAGCAAGTGGGTTCTCCATATATGAGCATACAAACATGCATTTTTGTGTTCACTGTTTGTATGTTCATCAGAGTTTCTAGGCAGTGTCTACTTTTTGTGAGCTTTAAATATGTAACTCAACACTGCAGGCGTCTTAAGAAAAACGAATGTGCTTAAACACAGTCTATTACAACACTAGATGTTAAACAGTAAATATTTCCTTCTCTTGTCCAATGTTTTGAAAAGATAACATCACTATTGTCCGGTAATATCCGAAACCGATGCAAGTTTCAGTTTCCTTAAGATATAAACTGATATGGCCAATGCAGAAGCGTTACTAAACAAATGAGTGGTGGATAAATGTTTAGCGTATTCTCTTGCACAATTGTTCATCCTCCACTGACCGTTGTACTACATGTCACATGTTTGTTCATGGAAGAGAGTGGTTCGTTTGCCAGATAATACTTCTCGATTTGTTTCATATAGACGTGTTCTGGAATCCGAGACAAATCTTTGTGAAAACCGTTCAGTTAGTCTCACCACTGTATTTGCTCGAAATCCGGGATACCCCATGCTCTACTGTCAAAATAATTTTCAATTTCCAGTATCTTTCGGTTAAATCTACATATAAAATTCACAGTTTAATACACCTCCATTATCTGATAGAAAGTTAAAGAAACACTGGATGTTTTCCCAGGTATTCGCGAGGACTACGCCACGTCATAACACAACACGCAGCAAATTACTGGGTTGGCAAATAGCCATTCCCACGGAAATATGAAAATAACATTACAAACACCCTACAAAACATGTCATTATGTAACCGAATACCGTATGAATAGGAGCATGAAACTTTCAGAAAAGTATATAAACCATCGACAATTTATGTACATGGGGATATCGTTGAGATTACCAGATCATGTGGTTTCATCTGATTGCAGCATAAAAATCACACTGAAATCTGTTTTTATTTATGAACAAGTACTGCATGTGCACACAGAAGCTATAATCACTATTGCAACTGAGCTAATGAATGAATGAAGTGCGTTTCACGTGCCACTTTAGAAAAATTCAATGTTTGATATTTTAACTTTCAAATCAGAATAATTATTCTTCCAAAACACTGTGCTCTTTTCAAAGCTTTTGAACTTTAAAGTGCATTTTAACAAGATTACAAATTCACACCTTGCGCTGCAGCGTTAACTAACCACATATTATAATAACTGTTGAACTATTTTCACAATCCCCGTTATATATGAACAGAGAGAGTCGATTTGAGGTGAGACCTCTTTTTAACTTAAGAAAGGGATTTGTTTCCCATTGTCTGTCTTGACATTGCGTTAATGAGAACACAGGATATTGATTAGGATAGCTCTGTTTTTAATGTATAAACATTTATACATTTAGCTTCCAAAAACAAACAAGGGATATGACAACGGCCAGCAAGGATAACATCACAAGTGCCCAAACATGCCATAACTCAAAGCAAACTAGTTGTCAGTCTTTAGGTAATTATGTTCATGAAATTAAATCCAGCAATCTCGCTCTCCGTGTCAACATGCTTTCAAGAATTAAAGACAAAGGATCCAAACCGCGTGTTTAGCTCCTCAACGAGGGTGACCCTCTCTCAACTGATGAATTAGACATTGCAAATATATTGGGCAAAATGTTGCCCCAAGACACTTCATGATTCACTCGACGACATATGCACTGCCCAGGGTCACGCTCGCGATTTTGCAACCAAATCTGATAATATTTATTATATGCTTCTGTAGCATCGGCCTGATTCATGTCTAGAGACGTTTTTGCAAATATATTTGATCAGACCTTGCATAAGCAAATTTTCCATTTCCTCGCGTGATGCCATTGTTGTACCGACAACTAAACATGGCATAGGTAATACGTATTCCTTTAGTTATCGATCAATGAGGGTGCTTAAGGTATAGAATGAGCATAAAGCTGAAGAAAATAAGCATAATTTGTAAGTGTAATCACGCCTGCCTGGTGGATATGTGTGTGTGTGTGCGTGCGTGATGGTGCCCATGACTGCTTGCCTCTTCTTTCATCATGAACATTGTCCAAGTCCCAACAATCCCAATGTAGCGGGATTCTAATATGCGTCTCATATTAACCTGTATTCGTCAGGTGTTTTTTCTCCACCGCTTTAGTAAGAGAGTATGCGGTTACCGATATCAACAGGAGCCATAGCACGAGAGGAACGCCCAAACTGTGTCTCGACCATGTTGACATCACACCTTCATGTCGTCATCAGAGCTGTTCTTGTTGGAGGGTTGTTTCTCATGTCACGTTCACAGTTCAGTCGACTGCGATTGATGGCGTAGACGTTCAGGCGCACATCTGTTGTGACGTGAATGACATGTGACCAAAGCATTCTTAATGCGCGAATCAGTATCATTAGAAAGGACCACAGCGTGAGAATTTCCGTTTCAAATACTTCCTTAATTTTCTGATACATGTATATATGTTCCTGTACGTGTTCCATAACCCGAGGAACTATTTATATTATAAATATAGATATAAATTGCTCACATCAGACAACAGTTGTTAGCACCATCTAGTTTTCCTACTTACTCATTTTCAATCCTATATAGGCATGTGCATTAATTTCGTAATGGACAAATAAACATAAAATACCTGGAAAACAATACATACATGCCATTCCAGACTTAAAAAGACAGGGGCAGAAAAGAGAAAACAGATATGCACAAAAATATCTGAATGCATCACAGAAGGTGTCGCAGAAAAGGATAAGCATGACCTCCTCTCCCTATTCTGAAATAGGAATGTTTTTGCTAACTGGCAGCTCGGGACTACTCCTGTCGAGAGACTGCCAGCAAACAAATACCAGGTCTATATTCTGAACGTCCGTATATCTTCCGGATAAATCTACACATGACACTGATCTCATTTCCTGCATGTCTTACAAAGACTAGGTCATATCAGATAGAAAGCAGAAAAAGGAAATACGATGGAAGTCAAATAACTGTTCTCGTCGAAATGTAACAATATGATATTATGAGATGTCGTGCCATGCATCACAGATTTTGGTTTGTGTATTTCAGTGTCACTTTTCGGCCCCCCAAAATATGTGCTGTCAGAATTCGACTTTGCTCAAAGCGAAAGATCGCATACTATCATGGATAAATAAGAAACGTAACGATACCATGGCTGTCACGAAACGAAACAGCGTCCATCATGCCAAGTAGGGCGTGAATAACACGTGGAGAAAGTTAATATCTTTAAGATGTTATTTGAAAAAAACTTTCACCAACAGACAATAACCACATGCTGGTAGTTATGCTACACATCATATGCCCTGCGATTGAAAGGAATTATTGAAAAACTTGGAGGAGAAATCCCACATGATAACATACAGTACATTAAAAGGAATTTGAACATTTCATAACGTGTTTACTGAAGAAATAATATGTGGAATGTAGGCCTGTGTGAAAATTTCGTATGCGACTTGTAACTACGAAAAGGAAACATCACTAATTGTGCATATGAATAGGAATTTCTGTTTTAATTCCACTCATTTTACCACCGAAACTAAAGAGAATAATGAGTCATATTTGCCTCATTTATAGATCATTGCATAAAAATTCAGTACCACGGCAAGTATCTACTAGACTTTATGATAAAAGGGATGACTTCATCGCCCAAATATTTAACTTTATATTGTTGAGCGGTGGGGTAGCCTGGTGGTCAAAGCGTTCGCTCGTCACGTCGAAGGCCCGGGTTCGATTCCCCGCATGGGTACAATGTGTAAAGCCCATTTCTGGTTTCACCCGCCATGATATTGTTGTAACATTGCTAAAAGTGGCGTAAAACCATAGTGGCTCACTCAACTTTATGTTGAGCAATATTCCGCATTACATCTCCATGCTCTGGTGTTTACATTTCACGTCTTTAAGGTACCATGATAATTAGACACTATAAGCATGTGATCAATAACTGTATCACGAACACGGCATTTCCACAGTATGATCTATGGAAGCGTCCTCCAGTCTATTGACTCTTGTGGCTAATGGGCCGCGTCGGTAGACCCTGGTAATCAACAGCCACAGAAGTATAGTCACCCGTATCCCCCTCGTCTTCATTTTCAAAGTGGCTAAGAATAAGGATTGCCAGGAGTATCGGGCTTGGAGTGTGTATCAAACACACTATACAGCTGACTGACGTTTCCAATATATGATATACTTTCACTACTTCCTGCCAACTGTTGTGACTCGTTTGTATTCTAGTTTCACTTCTACTGTTTATGTATACTCTATATTGTTAGGTTTCGATCTGATTGTTTCCTACGGAAATAACATTGAGTGAGTCAATGCTGTGTCACAGTCTGCAATTGAATGCCAAATATTCCAGAGGAACGCGTAAATGGCATACATAAATAACATTTTGAGTAATATATTGTGTATTTTAGCACAGAAATCGAGGTTATATCGAACAAACCTGTGATGAATTTTGTGAGGATCTTTTTGTTAACTGTTGTGACACGTTTTTATTCAAGTTTCACTTGTCCATATTATCAGGTTTCGATTTGATTGTTGAACAGAGTTCGGTTCTGTTTGATATCAAATCCTCAAGAGAAACGTGTAAATAATGATTGTTAATAATATATTGAGTAACTTAGTACGAAAATCTAGCCTACATTAAACAAATCTATGATTGATATTGTAGGGACTTTACTCACCAACTGAGAATGACCACGTCTCCCATCCATTCATTTAGTCGCCTCTAACGAGAAACATCAGTTGCTATAGCTCATATTGACCATTGCCGTTGTGAAACTATGGTAGTAATTGTACCTATAAAACATGTGGCTGACATGGTAATAGCGATACTAGTAGTGACCAGGATCTATGTTCAAATGTAAAGTAACATTTGTTTGGTAAAGTGTGTATAAACATAACAGGATGATTGAGTGTCTCGGTTACTTTTATTTGTGAAATATTACTTTATTTTAACATTAGGAAAGCTTCATGCAATATCACAAAGATATATTAATATTACAAAATCTAGTTTCAAACAGGACATAGTGTTCGTCACGAACACTGGTCACGCAAGGGGAAACATGGATTCATATATGCAAGAAAACTTAAAATATAATATATGTACATGTTCACTCTATTCAGTTAATTATACATAGAAATGTTCAAGTATTCGTTTCAATACACCTTTTTTAAAACAAATGGTTCTGGCATTTTTCTTGACTTAGTTATCTGTTAAATACTAACTCCAGTCGGCGATAGAAAAAGATGTTAGTTTCATTGTCTAGTAATTCTACACAGGACGAGAGAAAACGTTATGAAAGTGGATTGAACAAAGCAAACATGAGGATGAAATAGTACATGTTCAATTGTGTTGTGAATGAATGAAGGAAGGGAGGAAGGAATGGATGAATGAATGAATAAGTGGATTTAACAAAGCAAGCACTTGTACATGTGGAGGAAACTGTTTCTAAATAAACCTAATGTGATTCAAAGTAGAGGTATACATTCCTGTAGACTTATATTCCACTATAACAGTACTATAACAGCAAATGATGTGTGGTGAGAAATCGATTATTTTCACTCGCTCAGTCACTCTGAACCGCAAATCACTATCCTGATCTCATGCTGCTCGTTTAGACCCCAAACATATAACGTAGCATACATTTATGTAAGTATATTCACAGGTCAATAAATAATTACTACTTACTATTGATGTATAAATCACGAATTCAAAAGGAATACGGTTGAGGCCAAAAACACTGTGAACTCTGGTGGTGATGATGTCACCGTCATATCATATTTTTGTGTCAGTTGTTGTTATTTGAACAACACTGACCAGTTACACTACAGTAATTTCGAATGTAATTGCAAAATCAGCCACGTATTGTGATTCTGGACTTGATCTAGGCGAGGTTATGTGACACTCAAGATCATATGTTCTGTGGTGTGTGTCCTCGTTTACACATTCGATTATCAATGAACGAAACATGTTTGAATAACCACATTGATTTGATACATGCATATTGTATTTGTATTTGCAGGTAGAGAAAAGAGTACGTAAAATGATAAGTTGTGCTTCTATACTTATTTAAGTGATATTTAACCATTCGCAATTTCTGTCTCATCGCTAATCACCATTGATGGCTATAGGAAAGACGAATTATCCATCTGATATTACAAAACACATTCAACCAAATAATGAACAAGGATCTGTATACCAATGTCAAAGTTTTGAATAACCATACTCATTCAATGCGTGAAATATGTATTGCAGTTAGAGAAATGAGTACATAAAATGACAGCTTATGCTTCAATACCTATTTAACCTTTGCAAAACAAAGAAAACAATGAACAGGGATTTGGTCTAACAATGTGACATTTCTAAAGAACCATACTAATTTGATACGTGAAATATGTATTGCAGTTAGAGAAATGAGTACAGAGAATGATAGCTTATGCTTCAATACCTATTTAACCTTTATAAAACCACGTTTATTAAAAATATGCGTCCTCATAATGATGGTCCCCATCAACGACAGAGGGGTCATCGGATCCTTTCTGACAGCAACTACCAAGTGTTGCTTGGTTGCTGTTGTCTGGTGTAGGTGTATTTAAACGACCGCAGCGGTTCTCGCCAGGAAGCGTGTCGTGAATGGGTTGGATGTAGGAAGTGACCTCTTGACGCGAGCTGAGTCTGGCTGCAGGTCCAAGACGTGTGTATCTGTCTGTGGATGCTCTTGCGTCCTCCTCAGAGCCTGTGGTACGTCTGTGATGGTCCTGCGCGGTCGTATTTACTACATTCATTCCAATGACGTTTCCCTTGTTGTTGTTGTCTTCAAGCCATTGTCCTGATTCGTGCCTTAAACAAAAGTCCAAAAATGTCAAATCACGTTGTTAAGAGTTGGTTCAATGTCCTTCATAAAACTCCAACTTATACCTTCCCTACAACACAATTGGAATAGGCTAAAACAACACATATTTGTGTCAGTATTTTTGAACACAATATTTTTAAACGTCCTCAAGAGTAAATTTTTAATACTAAGAAAAAATATTGTGATAATTAATGTCATATGCAGGTTAATACCCAACCCAGACACAGTACTTACGACTTTCTTCTCCACACGAGGAATGCTACACACAGTGACACCAGCACAAGTCCAGCAGAGAGAGGTGCAACCACTTTATACCAGTTACTCTTGAACCAACTTCCCTGTTGTAACAGACATATGGATGTCAGATTGATATCACATCCACGTCACATGCACACACAAAT